GAGGAGGTGGCGCAGCAGTGTGCCACGTAGAGACACTAATCTGCTCCCGGAAGCGGTATAGCCATGTTAATGCCATGCTGTACCCGGGCTAATTAGAATAGTTCTAGGTCTTCGGTTGCAAGAGCTTTCCCTGCCTCATTTTTTTTTTTTTAACATTGTTAATCTCTGTGGGCAAATTTATTGGAGCATGATATGAGATGTTAACAGTGCCCGTTGAAGATAAAATGGTAGAATTAATTAGTGCTTTTGATTTTAGGAGATAATCTAGTTTTGAGAAAAGATTTGTGTATTGGGGATGATAGTAAAAAAATGAAAGTTCCCTGTCATCTGGAGACAATTTTAACTTGAATTATCAACATTTAGGGTCAGACTGCCTCTAGCCTTTGTACAAGTGCGCAGGATACGGGGGAACACAATTAGCCTTCCTTTCATCTCCCATGCAAAAGCTACAGAGTATCACAGTCTCTAGAGGGTTCTACAAAACCACCTCTAAAGAGGCCAGGCGCAAGGTGAATCACATAATGAGAGGATGCTTGGATAGCCTCGTCCTTGGATTCTGCGCCTTGCCTGCACTGTCTGTACCCCGGAAAGATCACATCCTAATTTGTTCTGACACATATTCCCTCTGCGTGCTTGGCTAGTAATTTACCTGTCTTGTGAAAGTGTGAGCATTACCGTCCCAGAGGACTCTCTTCAGGTTTAGGTGGACCAAATTTGTATAGTACTATGAACTGGTATAAACCAGCTTGCACATTACCTGCTCACAATCACTGAGGACAAAATGCATATAATCTCTAAAGTAGATTTACAATTGTAAGAAAACAAGCATGCAGGCACTGTTTGTGGCATGTGTCATCCGAGTGTGAGCAATTGGCCCATATTCTGCCTTCGGCCAACAACGATGTATTCCTGGAGATTTGGTGCTTGGGTAAGAATATTTTCCTAGAAACACTTTCCTTGGCCAAGACTTTACTGAACCAGTCTGAACATTAAGGCGCTATCCAACAAGTTGTGAGTTTAAACTTCTCATAAAAGAAAAGCTGCTACTGGCTCACCTATAGCTCAGGTGAGAGCATTAAACCCACGGCAACTGTAAAACCGTTGGATATAGGTCCCTGTCCCTGCTACAGCAGATTTGGGTGATCTAGCCCCAAACATTTATCCCAGTGAAATCTGCTGGCAAATTTCACCTCCCCTTAGGATGGTCGACAGGAAAATTTCTAGTAGGTTCAATACTTGCTGAGGGAAAAAAAGGGTAAGAGTTGATTTGATTTAGTCATAAGGAACATTAACCTCTGAGTATTTTCAGAATTTGGCAAACATGAGAAGATCATTGTGAGAGGACCTTAATTTCACAAAGGATGTAAGATGGAAATGAAGGTGAGAGTCCTGTTGCAATGAAAAAAATGCCCTATCTGAAATACCATATTTCTAAAAGCAACAGTAACAGCTGGGTGAAAAATGAATGTAAATTAACAACAAATTAAAAATGCCCTTCTTTCCTGTTTAGAGCTGATGCTCCACAGAAGAAACTGATGTTAGATCAGGACTGAACAGCAAAGAGTCAGCACAGAATCACAAAAAAAAAAAAAAAGATAGAACCTGCTGCAACGAGTTAGCTGGCTGATAATCAGGAGATTAATCTGAGTAAATAGACAGCCAGTTCCCTTGGGTCTCTATAAGATTTAACAGCAGTACCCAAACTTCATCATATAAGAGCAATGATGGAGAGCATACAGCAGAAAAAGTCACTCAGTCTGTCCCTGAACTATCAGGAGTAGACCATTAGGTCTAGTGATGACAATAAAATTTGAAATATTGTCCATAATAATATGGCATAACACTGTGCGACATCTATGTAGCTGCGAATTAAGTTATTTAAGCCCCAGATACAGGCTAGTTTCAATATCATGAAAGGCTATTTCATTCCCATATAATCTCTATTCTGCACAGTACTCTCCTGTGTAACCAAAGCCAAATTCCAGGAACAGGGCTTAAGGTGGACCCAAACATGCAACTGCCTATTTCCACTCCTTTCCGGTGTCCTTAGCATGGAGGTATGTGAGAAGGCATCTCAAAGTAGGAAGTAGGAAGAGCAATTGCTGCAAGAGGAGCAGGCTGTGACTCTCTTGCAAGGTGGAGGAAATGATAGCACCCTTGTAGCTATTATTTGCTGCCATTAAAGACACAAGTGATGGGTGGGAAGATAACAGGAAGGCAAAGTCATCTCTATGCCCTGTCTTTGAGCACACAGCCTGAAAATCCAGCCTGATGTTTATACAACTCTTTGAACCTGCAATCTGCTAAATGCTGTGATTAAATAATTGTGCTTAAGGTTATAACTGGTTTTCAATTATACAGTTTAGCACCCAGCGCTAGAATTGATGAGTGCAGTTCTTCATTGAGTAAGTAACCTAAAGCAAGCCTGGGAGCTGAGAGAGAGGAGAGGGTCCATAAGTTTTGGGGGGGAGGAAACCCCAAAAGGAGTATTCTGTTGGCCTCTAGGGAAGAAAGGAAGACAAAAGGCAAAGGGAGCTGTGAAAGGGCCCAAAATATGTTTATTTTACACAGCCTATGCTGCTGTGCTTGACAAGCAGTTCTCTTAAGGTAAGAGGCCTATCAAGAAGCAGAAGACAAGCATACCAACTTGTGCCTGTATGTGCCCCCCACTCCTGGAGCAATAGAATCCAGTACAGGGCATAAATCTCTCAAAAAACAGAGACTTCTGTCCCTTGTCAACTGAAGAGGAGTGGTGCGGTAGCATCCCACGTGCTGGTGGGCAGAGGTAGTTTCCAAAACCACGTGTATTTTTGCAAAGGCACAGCAGCCCCAGAAGCCATTTTTGCCAGACCACAGGAGAGAGCCTGTAGCTTGCTCAGCTTGGGCCTCATCCCCACCGAGGACCGGCACACCACCACTTACCCATCACTACATTCAGGTGTTGCCGTGCTTATCTATGCAGCTGTCTTTTCCTCTTCTCTCTTTAATGAAGGATTATTATTATTGGGAGTGGGAAAAATTAGCTCATCTTGTACCATAAGGTTTAGTTCTTTTTTTTCTTCCTCCAGGTTTCTGAACATCTTTAAGCTGCTATTTCTTTTAGCAACTGTTTACAAATTTGCACTGGCCCCCATGACTGCCAAGCAAGTCCTGACATAAGACTTAGACTAAAAATACTTCAAAGCAAGGCTGGATTAGGATGATCTCCAGAGATCTCATCCAAATCAGACTTTCCTATGATTCTATTGATATAAACGCATAGCACTTAATTTTTTCTTTTTTTTTTCCCCCAGTGGCTGCTGCCTGTCTTAGCGGCAAAGCTGTTTGAATGACTGATCTTTTGAGTCACTGAATGAAGAGAGAGCCAAGGAGGGAGGCACCATGGTGAGAAACAAAATTTTCAGGTCTCAGCAAGCCATCTTCTCCCACTATAAAACACTCAGTTGTGTATCAAAGTATTGTGCTTCAGATAAAAAGAAACCATTTTTATTCCTTTCACAAAGATAATAATCAGCAATTTTTAAAAACAAACTGCTGCTTAGGATGAAAAATCAAAATGTTTAAAAACACATTTCTGTCTTTCAAAAAGAGTGTTGTTTTCTTGAGGGAACGATTCATGAATTTCTGAAGAGACGACTGAAAGCGTGGATAGTATCCAGCGAACCTAAATTCATTTTTTGCCAGATAGACTATTTCATTAAAAAACAATAAATCCCTTTGTCTGCTTAATCACTGTTCTGACAGGCTGCATAGGAAAGGCAGAATTCCTGCTCCGTGCATGACTACGTGGAGTCACATGAAGGCTAAACAGAATGATGAACCTAATTTTGCAAGGGGCCATTAAGAGTCAGACACTGACTCCTCAAGGATAAAATCTTAACGCAACGCGGTCCACAGCTGGAAAAGTGAATGCCTATATTTCTGCATTTAAGTACCTAGACAGGCACATGAGGATATCTAGCGAGCAGCATCTCTGCTTGTGAGTTTATCCCTGCTGAGGGATTAGGACTTTGGTGCCTTAGGAGGTCTTGGGCCCTGGTGAGCATCTACACATTCATGGAAACACATAGGCCATCCAAAGTTAATGAGACGCCATAGTCTAGTAAAACGGTATTTTTGAAGATTTTGTGCTCAGTTTCAAACATTTTTGCTTTTATTTAAATCTTGGCCCATGATTTTCTCTGTATATCTCATGAGATGCTTTGAAATCCTTTTCCTTGCTTTCTCTCACCTGATTCCTAAGTAATAATCATTCCTCCTCACGTTCACCATTAACAACAACTCAAAGTATAATAATTGCACAATAGGTTTTTTTTAAAAAAAATAACACAACCACATAAGATCTCTACAACAGGAAAACTGACACCAGAGAAGACCCTCACAGCTCATTCAAATCAACACCAACACTGCTTCCTGAGTTGGTGGCACTCTTGGGCACAGCATCAGCTCTGTGCTCAAAAGCCTGGCCATACAGGGACCAGGGCTGTAGATATCTGAGCACAACCAGCCACAAAAATAATGAAACACAAAGTGGAGGCCAGATGACACTTGATTAAGAGCATATGGGAGGTCTGAGGCCAACCATCAATCATGGGTCTGAGCACTGCTTAAGAATCACTTGGTGCTAGCAAGCCAACGATTGAGCAGTACCTGTGGCCCCACAGCAGCCTCCCAAACTCACCTCCCAAATTCAGCCTCACACAAATGAAGGGGAAGGCTGCCACGAGCACCCGCACCACACGCCCTCCTCTGCCGGCAGGGAGCACCGCGCAACCCGCATCCCCGCATGGAGGAGCCACTTGAGCACAAAGGCCGCGAACAGCTCCCGAAGCACCCCGAGAAGGGCCCGTTTCCATCGCTGTTTTGTCATTTTCCAACCCAGGTTTGCAGAGGAGCCTGTGTGGAGGCGCCGAGGCGCAGGGCCCGGCACACGCAGGTTGGGTCCCAGGCGCCACCGCTGCTGTCACTCCGTTTGAGGCTAATCGAGTTGGATGTCTCACCTCTTGGTTCGGCATGGGCTTGCAGCCTGGATTTTTGTTGGTGAGCTGCAAGGGTGCTATCTAGCTTGTCATGTCTAATAACTTCCTCCTCTGAAGTCTGATATGCTGAAAGATCTGTGCTGCTGATGTTAAAAGCTGGATTTTCAATGCCTTCTGCTGCTTCTCTCTCTTCTTTCACTATAGAAAACAAGGAGGTCAGAAGAGCACATTATAGCAAAGTGTATTTCAATGACAAGCAGAAAAATCCTTCTAGTAATTCCTTTGCTGGAAGACTCAAGTGTATCGTCCTCAAATGTCGCCAAAACAGAATTAGGTTAAAATTAACTCAAAAAAAAAAAAAAAAAAAAAAGAATAAATGATAGAAATAATTACAAATTGCACCCTGACAAGCAAGAGCAAAATTTCGCCCACAGCCATTTGTCTGTAATTAGTTAATTAATCCTTACACAAATTATGAGCAATAACTCATCAAGCAAGGCTCACCCATCAGAAATTCAGCCGACTTGGATTTCTTCTGCTTAGTTTGCTTCAGAGCCTTCTGCTGGAACTTCTGGAGGGAAATTGTTAAATGAATAAATTAGCTAAAGAACGAAGATCATCCTTTATGATCCACAACTAACACAGTATTTTAAATATGGGATGGCATTGAAATGTCATTTAATTTACATCTCTGCTAAAGGGGTCAAACACTAATTGAACAACAGAAGTGGAAGAATTAAATAAAATAGGAGAAGAAAAGTTAAAACAAATGCCAAATGAAGGTCACATTAAAATACTTTGTTTTCTACCATTTTTAATTAACGCAAAGAAACCTCAACAAATTAAGAACATTATAGGACTTGTCTTTACAGTATGCATTCAGCAGCAACTGCTTTATTTTACTTGCAGAATTGCAAGTGCCTCATTTGGCAAAGTTTGATTATGCCGCATATTTATAGACAGACTTCCCTGACATCCCCTGTTCTTTATTTTCCAAGTCCTCTTACATAACCAGTGTGTTTGCTCATAGACAGGGCAGCTAAAAATGAATGAGCTCTACCCTTTCAAATGAGACATTAAAATAAAAATAACCCCCAAAATTTTACACTGAGATGTCACAAAAGAGATATCATGGTTCCAGAGAGGAAGCAGGATGCATTGCAATGATGAAAAGTTTATTTAGTGTGGAGACATGACAACAGAGAACAAAAAAAAATCTTAAAGGAACTAAACTCTGACAAATTCCAAATTAATTCTCGTAGGGAAGCAAGGCTCAGAAAAAAAAAAAAAAGTGCAGTCACACTATTACGATAAAGGTGGCTCAACTTCTAAACACCATTTTTTTAAATACCTTCAAGGATGCTAGCAAGAGGTTCACAAGTGGGTTCATGCGTGGCTACAGTCCCCTATCATGGATGCTAACAGGCAAAGCAGGCAAGGGTTATCTAAAACAAAGTACCTCTGGGTGTATTAATCAAAAAAAAAAATCAAAGTAAGAAAACCATTCAGATCCATTTATTTTAAAATGTCACATGGCATTTTCTGAAAACTGCATTATTTTTTTAAGCCAGTCACTTAATTGTCCAGAGATAAAGACCACTCCTGGCAGCACAGCTCCTGGAAACTGTCAATACGAAAGGATTAATTACAAGAATTGTTGAAAAATTGCAATTTTTACAGCATCCATCTCTCCTGTTTGATTGTGAGTGTCAATTTCCAGTACAAAACACTGCTCGCAGCAGACACAATCAATAAATCTGTCAAAAATAAGTGAACCACATTAATGACAGATTAATATTGATATTAATGTCTTTATATATGTATGTGTGTGTATGTACGTGCACACGTACATATGCATAGCCTGAAAATAGTTGACGACTTCTTATTTGAGAATATTATCCTCCTAAAAAGCAAATACACTTAAAAATTACTAGAAATACGTTGTTCTGGAGATACATTAAATAAATACTAATGCAGCAGAATTTATTTTTACAAGCCACATGCTGCACAATTATAGTTAATGGTAATTTTGACAGGAGTTCAATAGATTCAGAAATTCACCCTACTGCTTTTGATTTGTTTTCCCAACTGAAAAATATTTCAAAAATATATACTAGCCCGGTTATATCTTTAGAATACTTTTGCAATACTGAGATTTTGCCAAAGTCTTACATACTGTAAAATTTTAATTCAATTAGTTTAAAAGACTAAAGCGGTATTTGTAACATTGCAATATGATAACCATTTTTCTCATATTCCACATAGTCACCACACAACATTTAAAATCTTATGTTAATGACTAGAGAAAAAAACATCTAGAGGAAAATTTGGTGACTAATTTTCAGCTGGTGTAAATCAGGATCCAACTGTAACTTTGATAAAATTATGTTACTAGCATTACCTAAAGATTTTACTTTTCATGTGCACACATATTACTCTTACATGACAGATTTCGCTAACAAAACCAATTGCAGGTTATAGTCATCTAAATAGTCATCTAAATCAAGCCATTTTGATTCAT